TGATCAGCAGAGTTTACACGTCACGTTTTGGTAACAGTACGGTTCACTTGGAACCTCAACCGAGGTGGTACTAAAAAAAGTACCAGCTACAAGGTACTGTACCCAGTGGAAAGCCCCCCAAAAGTGAACCGTACCTTGCCGTACCATGCAGTGGAAAAGCGTCATTATTTACTGGTCTCTCTCCATCCAGTGGCAATACTGTAATCCTCACTGTAGTGGATCACTTTTCTAGGGTGGACCACTTCATTTCCCCATCTAAACTCGGCTAGGGAGATGGCCCGGGTGGTCATTGACCATGTCTTCTGGATTCACGGTCTTCTGGAGGATGTGGTCTCTGACAGAGGCCCCAGTTTGTTTCCCACTTTTGGAGGGAATTCTCTAGTCTATTTGCCAGTCTGTCGTCAGGATTCCATCCACAGACCAACCGTCAGACCGTGTGTGCCAACCAGGTTCTTGAGTGGATGCTCTGATGTTTGGTCTCCCATAACCCTTCCACATGGAGTCAGCAGCTAACTTGGGTGGAATATGCTCATAACTCCTTGCTGGTGTTTTCAGCCGAGCTGTTCCCAGGCATGTGTTGTATCAATCCAAATTATATCAGTCCCCATTGTTGTTATCCCAGGGTACTTAAACTGCTGTCCCCTCAGTCCAGGTGTTTATCCAGTGCTGCCGTCATACATGGAGGAGGACCAGGGAGGTTCAGTATGAGAGGCACACCAAAAGAGCTGCTGACCGCGGTCAGACTGTGGCACCATTACATCTTTGGTCAGAGGGTGTAGCTCTCCACAAAAAGGGCCTGCCGCTACAGATTCCGGCTCATAAGCTGGTTCCCAGGTTCATCGAGTCATACTCCATTGTCAAGGTCAAAGTCCTCCCTCTTTTTCTGTTGCCAGCCTGTACTATGTCAGTGCCCATCACTGACAATGATCTTGATCTGCCCTGCCCTGCAGAACAGCAGCTTGTTCCTGACCTCCCCACCAGTTCAACTCTTCTCTCTGTTCGCCGCTCTGGATTTGGATGCTGCATGGACTGATTCCCGGTATTGATGTTTGCCTGTCTGTTTTGCTTACATCTGCTTGTTTTTGTATACCAGAAGAGTTTTATGTTTTATCAATGTGCAAAAACACAAAATCTGTGTATCTATTTGAGCAGATAATATATTTATTAAAGTGCTTACTTGGTTGTAGTTTCTACAAAACAATAGTTCACACAAATAACAGTTTCAAATGTTAGAAGGCCACACATATTTAATATAGAAGTAAATAAATATGAAACAGGGACCTAAGATAAATACTTCTGGACTTAACAGAATTTTGAGCTGTCATTTGAAATTGACCCATAACATCCCGACATGCAATTAATGTAAATCTAATGTTTTTTTGTTTAAAAACAAAACAAAACAAAACAAAACAAAAAACAGTAACTAACAGTAAGTGGAAGTGATTTCCTTTGGAAGTCAGTTGACCTTTTTGACATCAGTATGCTACTGTAACTTGTTCATCAGCCGGCCCTAACTATATTTAGCCAAGATGGACTTTGCTGTAAAAACCACATTATATTTAAAAAGATACACTTCAGTTGAATCACCTGATCATCCACTTGAGTCCTTGGTGCTTGGACCCCATAATTGTCGATTGCAAGATTTATTATTATTATTTGTAAAGCACAAATATTTTGAAATATTTGATAAAACCTAAATAAGTTAAATCCCTTAATTTTGATGTTTCCCTGATAAAAATAAACTGTAGGAAAAGAGGTACAATATTCCATTTTTGAGAAAAATACTTTCCCTTTTTCGGATTTTAATTTAATTTAATGCTATTTCTTCAAAAACAATCCTGAATTAAAAGTGAATACTCATATGAAAACCACACATTTTATTTAGTATTTTATTTATGCATAAAGGAAACACCTCTCTCGTCTCCTCACAAAAACAATAAATGTTACTGAAGTGTCTGAAGAATTAACAAAATGTGTTTATTTTGCTATCATGTTTTTTTTTTTTTTGGAAAACACCTTCAGCTGAAGATAAGGAATTCAGTGAAGTTGTTACATCAGTGTCTGCAACATCATGCAAGAAAAAAAAGTGATGCTTTGTTAACTACTGTCTGTCCAATACCTAAAATCATTTAAACCTTCTATTGCTTCTTTCTTTTTAATTCGGATATCCAAGTATGCAAACTGCAATAATGTTCCCAACACTTTGGAGAGATGTTTTGATTAGTAATTACAGGCCAATTATGTGTGTGTGTATACGCAATGTATATTCAACTGTATATACATGATCATTTCACACGTTTCTCTCCAGTGTTTTAAAATTATATTAGCATAAGAAGGTACTTAAAATACACAAAGCTTGTTGCTATAGAACTAAAAGTTTTAACCAATTCAGTTACAGTATATAAACATGTAACATTAAAAGAAAAATATTCAGTCATTACATAGAAATGCAGCAATCTTTCGTCAGTAAACAGCAGATATCCCTCTAAAGACATATTCTCTTTGTAGTTGCCAGATACTAACACCAGAAAGCATTCTGATGCAAGGAAATGCCCAATTAAATCCCTAATTGCCCATCAGCTCTTAAAAAATACAGACGACTCTCTCGTCAAACAGTAGATGATATGTTAACGATAGAATGAGAAGTTAATAAACTGACAAATACAATATAATTTGGTGCAACAATAACATCAGATCTCTGCCCTTGTCATCCGTTAGTGGCCCACATGTACTGAAGGCATTGCATATGCAGATTCACATTAGAGTAAACCTATGCATAAGACAACACTGCTATATCACTTTAAAACTTCCATCTCCGATATTACAATGGAGTCAAAACAACAAATCTATATCAATAGATATTTCAACACAGCTGTGCTTATACACAAGGCAATATAATGTTAAAAATGACTTTGGAAAGAAAACAAGAGGCAGACTATCTGTCCTCGTGTCAATGTTTCAGTCAAATAATATGTATATAATTAATATTGTGTAAAAAAAAAAAAGTACAAAACAAAATACACATGAACACATCCTAAAGCCACAAGATCTTATTATATGTTGCACATATAAATCTGTACATGAAATTGCGGGGCTTTCGGACATTTACCATGTAGATGCATTAACAGTGTAGTCAATACTTGAATGAATCTCACAAAAACATATCTCAGCCATATATCACTCCAAAATCAGAAAAAAAATTAGCATACAGAAAATGAAGCCTAATTTTAGGCACTGATATTTTATCTCATTTTACTCCAATTCTCATTACGTAATGCAACCATGCTGAATCCCATTGCCCAAATAAAGCCAGTACAACAAAATTAAATATATTATTTTAATGTATCTCCAAAAACACTTTTTTCATTATGGTAATAAGAATATCATTGGGATGTGCTAAAGGTTCATAAAAATAATAAAACTTAATGTCATTAAATAGACCTCATTTACTTGATGCTAAATTTCTGATTGTGAGGACCAATGACGCCCAAAACATGGCCTTGTGAGATTTGCCAGTCATTAAGTGAGTGAAGTCAGAGAAAGGGACACTTCCAGTGAGCACAACTCAACTGGTGCTGTCATTTCCCCCATGAACAAACCAGCTGTTACACATAGTAATATACACATCTTTCAAATTCTTACATAGTTACAATATCAGATCAAACATTTATCATTGAGAAAAAGCCTGTGAATGCCTAATGAATTAATATATGGAAACCCACTGTGCATATCCATACGGTTACATATGGGTACAGTGTTACAAACAGATCTCACGATGGTAGTAGGACATTACCCGAGTCCTCAGGACAGTAGGGTACTAACCCTTAGCACTTTACAGCAGGCCTATACATCACATGATGCCGATTTTAATCACACAATGCTGTTACATCTTACATGAAGAGTGTATCAATAGGTGTCAGTCGATAGATGATGGGTTGTACCTTTTGTATATATATATTTTTTAAATTTATTTTGGTTAGTAACATGAAATTCCCATGTTAGGTGTGTTTTTTGTTCCGCACCTCTTAAAAGTACCATACAACCCCTTCTAACCCCATAATATATTACCAAAAAGTATAAAACAACCCTCAATGATGTTTGTTTCTAAATAAAGAAACAAAAGAGGGGAATTTCCCCTCATCCTGTCTGTAGCGCATCTCTCTGTCAGCAGGTGGAGCCACAGTGTTCCTCTGGGTGTGCTGTCGTCTCAGGGCTCGTCTAAAGAGTATGGTGTCAGACAGCGAGTCGGCCCGGGGCGGGGTGTAGAGGACTCCACGTGGACGGAGGGGCTGCGGGAGGCTCCTGGGTGAAAGAGCATGGCTGGGCCTCGACTTTTGCCACACCGCGACCCTGACACAATCGCCGATGTCTCAACAGTCTGTCTGTCCGTGAGAAGTTCTTGAAGTGAAAAACAAAGAAGTTACTGAATGCATTTACACTTTTGACTTCACCTCAATGATGATTTTTCCTTGTGCTCATTTAATGAAAATCCCAAATTGCAAATGATAAATTTAATAATTTATAAGTGTATTCCATTTGTACATGGCTACAATGTTTGTTGGGTTGAAATGATGGTTCTTTCTAATTTAGAAGATAAATAATATATATAAATAATAAATAAATAATAATAATAATAAAATTCTTAAAGAGAGTTCACTCAAAATGATTTGAAAATGATTCACGTCGTTTTAAGTTTTGGTTACTTAGACTTTAAATGGAGAGGCAGAAACCACTCAGGTTTAATTAAAAATATCATACTTTTTGTTTCAAAGAATAACCAGTCTTATGGGTTTAGAACAACATGTGGGTGAGTAAATGGTGACAAGTGTTATGAGGGCAAACCAACTTAACTTGTTCAGACACCTACCTAGCAGTAGTGGCATCATTGACATTTAGCCTACGTATTTCAATATAATGCATTACTTCCCAAACTGGTAATAAAACAAATTCAAGACAGCTGCAAGGACCAAAGCCCTGTTCACACCACTTCGGGTCACCAGTCTCTGCAAACTTGGTCACTCATAGGCGTTACAATACATCCACTTCTAGCATTACTTTAGGCATGAGAGGACTCTTTTTATTTTATTTAGATTACAAAAGAGAAGACAAACAACTCTAAAGCCATTTTCCCTGATGAACAGCTGGCAGTATGTTTGCAGTGAGCAGACTTGATTTAATGTAAAATCTTATTATAACAACTACATATTCTGTCTAATAGGATAAACTTCTCCATCTTCCTAACATTTCACTACAGCATTTGACAGGACAGATGACGTGCGCTCCACTGACGTCATTCAATGCATAATTACATGAAGTTTAATATTTCTCAACTTTCTCAAATGAACACGCCCACATTGCGTCGCCGATGGTTTCGGTTGCTGGAGGTCGACAGCTCTCCTTGAAAATGATTGTCTCTTTGTTGCTGCAAGTTTCTTGCGGTGTGAACGGGGATAATGGATGATCATGGGAGTTGTCCCATACCTTACAACCGCTGTGTTATAAAACGTGTTCTTACCTGCTGGCAGCGCTCACACTGGTAAGGCTTTTCACCACTGTGAACACGCTTGTGTCTCTCCAGATGGTACCTCTGAATGAACCGCATGTCACACATGTCACAAGCAAACGGCTTCTCTCCTAACAGAGAAAAACAGTCTTTATTAAAGCACCCCACATCTTTATTCTCACAGCATGCCACAACATACAACATCGACAAAGAGACTGAAACACTGTTTCTGGACATGCAAGGATCGAGACTGATTGTCATATGGGGTCCCACATGAGAGAGTATATGCATGCTTAGAAATAAAGTATTTGACTCCATACAAACTCGAGTTTGTAGAGTTTAATATGGAAGAAAAAACCTGCTTGATTGTAAAGTGGCACACTGGGGTTTTGGTTTTAAAAATCAGAAACCTAGTTTGAGACTTGAGGTTATGTTCTACCTACTTGGAGACTGATCATTAAATCGGTAATAAGAAAGCGCTATTTTTTTTCTAATCGATTATGCTTTAATACTTAAATGAATGCAAGTAAACTTAATAAACACAAAAACACACCCTCAGAAACATGAGGCAGGAGCACCTACACAGATATTGTGAAACCTGATACTACACGCAAGCGTGAAGTGAGTCTTGCAAAACTCGTGCCCACGAGCAGTAAATTAAAGGGGCGAAAACATTTTTAAATGTCTTGACTTTGATACACATATTATATGATGCTAACAAATATTTCAAAAGTAACAGTTCTTATTCAAAAGTCATTTACTAAACATTTTGGCCATTAAAGGGTTAGTTCACCCAAAAATGAAAATTAGTCCATAAATTACTCACCCTCAAGTCATCCTAGGTGTACATGACTTTCTTCTTTCGGACGAATCCAGTCGGAGTTATATTAATTTATGGGCTAATTTTCATTTTTGGGTGAACTAACCCTTTAATTTGAATAAGTCAATTATCTCACTGTTTTTTTCCCCCTAAACACCTCAACCACAAAATATATCCAAACTTTAGTTTCAATCAAGGAGTACTGGGTACAAATCAGGGGTACAATGAGCAGACACATACCAGTATGAGTGAGGCTGTGTCTTTCCAAGTGGTAACGTTGGAAAAACCGCATGTCGCACATTGAGCAAGCATACGGCTTCACCCCTAAATGTAGAGTCAATTTTAGTGAGTGAATGTCTTTACACAACATTCAAAGCAACAAAATTTTAACGCTGTTTAAAAATGTAGAGCATGCTATTGATTGATTTTTTTTTTCTGCATGCTGACCTTAAATACTCATTACAACACTTGCCATATTATAAGATCAAAAATTGCTTGTCTAATGCAGTTTGTGTGTTTGGATGGTTTTAAATAGAAATAATTTCCCCAAACAACAAAGTGAAAGTAAAGTGGCTAAGGTAAAATGTTTTTCTTTTTTGTTTATTATTATTATTATTATTAATTTTTTAATTAGTAGATGAGGGATGAGTCAAAATTATTTTCAGTAGTAATACAATCATGCCACAAATGGTCACGATAGACCGGTTGTACTAATCCCTGACCATTCCTTTAAACTATGTGGCAGAACACAATCTCAAAAACATGAATGAATGAGTGAATTGCATCGGGGCACTTAAGGTAAATTCATGTCAATCTTGTCTCATAATGAATTTATTTGAACAGTACCTAAGGAGTGGGTTAAAGAAAGATTCATTTATAAGTGGAAATATCTATAAATTATCAGCAATTCAATAATAATAATAATAACAATAATGATAAATAAACAGTTTCTGGGGATGGTGGATATGGAGCAACATGACAGGCTGCTATAAGTGGCATGATGACTTTGATGACAGATATACTGTGTATCTATCAGGTACATAGTAGGACCTTTATGGAGCACTATCATTAAATAATGAAATGTTGCTGACTCTGATCTTAAACTGTGAAATAGAAACATTTAATAATGGCCATTTTATGCTTTCATGTGTCAACGAAGCAGAAAATGGTTGTTGCTCAAAACTGAATGAAGTCATTTAGCATGCAGAAAACGAACATTAACTACAAAAAGGCAGGGGTTTGAGATGACACATACCCGTATGAGTGAGGCTGTGTCTCTGCAGGTGGTAACGCTGAAAAAACCTCATGTCACACATCGAGCAAGCATACGGCTTCACCCCTGAATGCACAGAGCACCAACAGTTCATGTATGCGTTTCTATTAATATAGCAGTTTTGGGGGAAAAAAATCCTGCTCATACTAAATGCATCTGCAGTAACCAAAAAAAACAAAAACAAATAAAATGTGGACTATATTACAAAGCATCGTGAAATTAGATAAAGTTTTGTGTGTGCATTATAATCATTTTATATTTAACATGATATTTTGTGTGTGCCACAAAGATTTAGTTGTCAACCATGCCTGCTGATAATAATCCCCTCCTCTGTAATCAGATGAGCATAGATTCAGTAAAACAGATAATCCTGCTTTGGAAAAAAAGGAGGTGGCATTATCGTCAGCGTCTTATTTCCCCCCTATTTTATGCTTGCTGAATAGGAAAAATACAAACTCGAGTTTGTTGTAGTTTAAACAGATTGTGTCTCTCTCCATAACATACTGAGAGCTTTCGTAGGACTCGCAAAATTTCAAAATCCCTGGTAGCCTTTCAGACAGACATTCTTCAGATTTTGGTAGCCCAAAATGAATTTAACTAGCCCGAGAAAAAAAAAAAATCCACGGCTGAACTGCGGACAAATCAGCATGATCACAAACTTCAGTGACTGTATTTTTCCTTCAATTAACAAGTCAAGAGAGTAGGGGTGCAACGGATCACGGTTCGGATCATATTACAGATTTGGAGTCACAGAGTGAATCATTTTTAGGATTAACAAAAAAAATGGTTCTTTATTATTCAAACAACACTTATTTAAAGAACACTTTACTTATTTGATAACAGGAAAAAAAAAACTAGTAGCATAACTTAAATGACATTTTTAAAGGCAAGTGAACGACAGTGATAAAACAAGAAAAAAATAATTACAAGCATATACAAATAAAACAAAGTTACAAGTAAAAGAAGGTCTAACATTAGTTTTCAGGTACAGAAATGTAATAATTAAGTGTAAAGCCACACTGCACAGTGTTCACTGAATAAATTAAATATAGATCAATATTTGTTAAAGTTGTGTTTTGTTGTTTGATTGAAGGAATAGTTCACCCAAAAATGAAAATGAAAAAAATAAAAATCAATCACATATGTATCATTAAATTGGATACGTGCATTCGTTCTTAAAGGGACAGCAGGCTATAAATAGCTGCTGCTGTCTGTGTCATTAATGTTAAAGGATAGTTCACCCAAGAATGAAAATTTTGTCATCATTTACTCACCCTCATGTCTTTCCAAACATATCTTCTTTTATGTTCAACATAAGAATGAAATGCATACAGGTTTGGAAAGACGCGAGGGTGAGTAAATGACAAAATTTTCATTTTTGGGTGAACTATCCCTTTAAAATTAATGACACAGACAGCAGCAGCTATTTATAGCCTGCTGTCCCTTTAAGAACGAATGCACGTATCCAATATAATGATACATATGCGATTTCTTTCTCAACTGTTTATGTTCACTTAAGACATAACCTACTGTGTGAACGAGAATATTTGCCGAGACCGGTATTTTGAGATAATTGTGTGTGTATGTGTCCATTCAAGCTCAAGGATACGCAAAAGAGGAATCAATTCTGTGTTAGTGCGAGTACGCTGAAAAAAACAGTGTGCGAGTACAAAACTGAATTCTCTTTTGCCTCTTCATGTGCTTGAATGGTTTAAAATGCTGAAATGTTTAAATTAGCAACATGTACAAATGACCAACTATGATCCGTTTCACCATTACAAGCGAGTGAACAATGTGAATCAAGGAAGGAATTTCATATCGCTATTCAAGATGACAGGTGATACATTTTGGAAGCTGGACTTGAAGACACAGCCTCACGATGTCAGGCTAGTGATTTTGCGAGCCCTGCTTTGAGAGGCAATTCATAATAATACATATAGACAGAGATTTCACATACCCGTATGGGTGAGGCTGTGTCTCTGTAGATGGTAACGCTGGAAAAAACGCATGTCGCACATGGTGCAAGCATAAGGCTTCACCCCTAAATGCACAAAGTAGCAGTGTATTAGTCTTACTGCCACCTGTCAACTTAAACCAAGCACTCATGGAAACTGCTCAACTCACAGAACAATGTAAAAAAAAAGGAAGTTTTCACTACAGTCTCATTAGCCAAGTAAGATGAGTTATGCATAAAAATGCTAAGAGCAGTTCACAAACTGAGCATCTACTAGACATGAAATACGATGCAGTGCTGCCACCTTAGAAATATGGCAATAGTTTTGAACAGGTTAGGCTAAAAACTTTGGGTTAAAATGTAACTATGAGCTTATAGATTTAGGCATTTCGACCTTTTGGGAAGTGCTTTCTCTTTTTTAAATGTGCTAGTACTTAACTATAGAATAATTATTCTTTTCTCAGATTTAGACTGAAGATTATTAAGCTAATTTTTGGTCTGATTTTATGCATTGACTGTAAAATGGTTTATGAAAGTGGACAAAATTGTCATTATGGATGAACTAACATGTCAATATATGATACATCAATGAATCATTTACTTATAAAAAATAATATGGAAATGTGTCAAGGATAGCTGACAGTATGCACTTTAACCCAAGAGCACATTAAGACAGAAAGACACATACCAGTGTGAGTGAGGCTGTGTCTCTGCAGATGGTAACGGTGGAAAAAACGCATGTCACACATGGAACAAGCATACGGCTTCACCCCTGAATGACCAGAGCAAAATATTAACCATACGCATCATCTTAATAATACAACCTAACAAATTTTAATTGAGAATCAAAGATAGTAGCCTAATTTTACATTCTGACCCAGTTGTCATGTTAGTATGACTACATCATGGTTAGTTCCTAACAAGAGCTTCACGGTCAAATTATACAATAATTCTCCAACAAAGAGTTGATGTTGGAAATGCATATTTTCATAATTATTGCCAAATACAGAAATCTCTATCATCATTAACTGACTGTAGTTGTACTGTGATTATATTGCCTATAATAAACCTTTTTGTTCTCCACAAAGTCTTCCAAATAACAAGACAAAAAAATAAAAATAAAGATGATATATCCTGCTCATGAAACAATGAACCAACTACTATGAGTCAAACATGAACCACTTCGCTAATTTTTTTAAATTTTGTGAAACTCGAAATTAGTAATTCTTTCTTCAAGTGAATAACTATGACTGACACTCTATGGGTGTACTTAAGGGAAACTTCACTGCTCCTCTTCCGAAAACCTTTTTAATAAATCTGAACAAGATGAAACATTTAATAGTAAAAGCTCATAATTTCGAACATTATTTTATGTTCATTTATTTTACATGCTGAAGAAAACCAGCAGTGTGAGAGGGGTACAAAGAGACGACACATACCCGTATGGGTGATGGTGTGTCTCTGGAGATGGTAGCGTTGGAAAAACCTCATGTCACACATTGTGCAAGCAAATGGCTTCACCCCTAAATGCAGAGTACTAGTATTAGAATGGACTTGCGGATATCAGCTTCAATGTAGCAACTTCATGATCAAAGATAACAGAACAATCACAAGGGAAACAGTCACAAAAAACAAATAAAATAAAGTCAAATTTTTGATGAATAATCCTCTATTTAAAAAAATATATATATTATAATTGAACATGACAACTAAAGCCTCCATGCATATGGAGCCTGGAGGGGAAAAAATAATTATAATAATCAAATTAGAAAACAGTGTTAACAACAGTAGGCTCATTCTCAGGAAATGGTGCCATTTGTGCCCCATGAATGAAATACAAAAACTGCTGTAAAAAAACACGGATATTTTAAAAACTAATATATAATAGTCTAACAGACTTCCCTTTTAGATTTAATACAAAATTGTTACTACGCAAAACAATGATAATTGTTAGTAAACGGTAATGAAGTGTAGTTTTAAGGCTGCTGCATGGCACCAGTGTTATTGCTTCTTGTTAGTGCTGTTTATAATGCTGGGGCGCTCTAACCATTTACAATGATTGAAACTGCTTTAAAATATAGAATTCTATGTAGATTTCTAATGGGTCAGACGTGTATTGTGGTCTGTGCTGACTTACACATATGTGACCCTGGACCACAAAACCAGTCATAAATGTAAATGTGTCTGAAAGCTGAATAAATAAGCTTTCCATTGATGTATGGTTTGTTAGGATCGGAAAATATTTGGCCGAGATACAACTATTTGAAAATCTGGAATCTGAGGGTGCAAAAAAATCTAAAAATTGAGAAAATCGCCTTTAAAGTTGTCCAAATGAAGTTCTTAGCAATGCATACTACTAATCAAAAATTAAGTTTTCATATATTTACGGTAGGACATTTACAAAATATCTTCATGGAACGTGATCTTTACTTAATATCCTAATGATTTTTGGCATAAAAGAAAAAACAATAATTTTGACCCATACAATGTATTTTTGGCTATTGCTACAAATATCCCCCAGCGACTTAAGACTGGTTTTGTGCTCCAGGGTCACATATGATCCGCTTTGTGCTATCGTATCTTTGGAGTGGAGGCACAGAGTGGTGGTTTGTGTGACACTGACACAAAATCAGATTTCATCCTCCCCAATGGAAATCACACTGCCTGAACTGTTCACTATCCTCCTTTACAGTAAATAGTAAATGTGTAGTCAAGGGACTGATTTCTTCTGCAGCTTTAAGGCCCGGGTATACTTCTTTTTCTGCATTACGCTCCATCTCGCACACAGCTGTGTTCGTGCAGCTTTCAAAGTATACTCAACCGCGGGTGAGCATGGATGGATGACTTTAACATGCGCAATAGCACTAGTGGACTCTTTGTGTCTCAACATTCACCTTGTGCCTGCGCTGTTGCATACACACCATCTGCATGGACAAAAAAAATTGGGCTGTAATTTGTTTTGGAGGACACTAGCTATAGATAACCCTAAAGGCCCCAATAACCTTAACGTGAAATCAAAGACAAACTTGTATGATGTCATTTCGAACAAAGTCATGTCAGAACAAATTTTGTTTTAGGAATTTGAAACAGCTTTACTGGACATTTGCACTGGCTGGTAAAAGCCTTCAAACTACCATTAGTCCATGGTGATTTCACAATAGGTGAATAAAAGTTTATTTCTTCTGATCAGTCTGTCAAGGTCAAATGCGAGTAAAACATGAATGCACTGGAGAGCTGCTGCATAGCAGAAACTAAAGTTCTCCAGAAGTTATGACTGATAACCGATGTACTCTTAAACTAATGTTGCGGCTATCTCATAACCCCCTCACACAAGTGCTTGTCAATGCGGGGGTCTTTTGTTGCTATTATCCGCTATTATCTTTTAGTTTTTAGTTTCATTTTCTAATGTGAAACAAGGCACGGTTGTGGAACAACAGATTAGTGCAAAACAAAAGAACAGTGAAGTTTTTTTATTATATTTACAGAAATATTAACTATTTATGTGTGCTGTAGTGGTATCATTTCCTAGTTAAGAGCCATCTTTGAATTGAGTTGAATTGAGTTTCACATTATGAGCCATAACTGACCTTTAACCCCGTTTTGAATGTAAGAGTTCATCATTATTCAAAACATTACATAAGAGAAATTTAGTTATATTTTCTTGATTATAATTTGCGGTTTATGCTGCCTCTCATGCACACACCTCTTTTTAGTCAGGATTAGATTCCAATTTCGATCTGCTGGTTTAAGTGAAAGTGAAGTGATGTGTGGCCAAGTATGGAGACCCATTCTGGGAATTTGTGCTCTGCATTTAACCAATCCAAGTGCACACACAGAGTAGTGAACACACACACACACACACACACCGTGAACACACACCCGGAGCAGTGGGCAGCCATATTGATGCGGTGCCCGGGAAGCAGTTGGGGGCCTTGCTCAAGGGTCTCACCTCAGTCGTGGTATTGAGGGTGAAAGAGAGCACTGGTTATTCACTCCCCCCACCGACAATCCCTGCAGGACCTGAGACTCGAACCAGCAACCTTCAGGTTATAAGTCTGACTCTCTAACTATTAGGCCACGCCTGCCTTAACGTGTATTACATTTTCAAAAGAGGAAATCCTGAAGAAATATGCTCCAAAAAAAAAACAAAAAAAAACGATGTTCTCCATGTTTCCTATTATGTCAGACAATAAAGCACATGACATACTCAAGATTACGATTTTAAAAGTGCTATCTAAATTATTACTCCCACTTCCCAAATAAAAGCAGGATTACTTCAAGGTAGGGATGTTCATTTCGGTTATTTTTCCTAACCGACAACCGACGCTCGTTAACCGATTATTAACTGTTAATGCGACAAGATTATTTTAAATTCGAATTAAATTCAATTAGAAAGGATACGTGTCTGTGACCCGTTAAAAAATACTAACATTTGTTTCCCGGGGATTTATTTTACATGGGCAAAAAGCAGCAAACAATAGAACATGGGGATTCACATGGTCATATCATATCACATCACGCACCTGCAGCGCTTCTGCGAGTGGAGAAAAACATAATAAAGCTAGGCTATATATTTATAACGAATAAATAGGTCTATACGAGAAATATATTTTTACTTAAATAATAAATGAAGAAAACGAAAGAAAAACTATGCAACAAGTAGCCTAGTATGCAGAGTTTCGGTTCATTTTTGTGCTGCGCGAAAGGAAACCGACGGCAGAAAGCGGCATCCTATTTTTCTTTAGGCTTATTTTACAAAAGCACAAAGATTTGTTTTTATTGTGAATGTACACAAATAAAGGCAAACCTTTTACAATTCCGATTATGTTTATGACTAAAAGTAGTAGTTGCTTCCACAGTTAGAAGGAAAAAACTCAAGTGATTGCGCCTGCACCGCATGCGCGCACACATTTAAGCATTGCTACCTTGATAATGCAGCCTGTTCATTATCATAATAAAATACAGTCAGTCAAACATATGAAAAGAAAAAACACACTGCTCAGTTTAAATATGTAGTAAAAATCTGTGCCGTTAAGCGTTATCACAGACCGCCATGATGTTATGCAAACCAATTTGTTTTACGTGGATATTGGAATGCGAGTGAAGTAGGCTATTCAAATACATTGCGAATACGGAAACATTTGATTTTGTGTCAAATGAGAGATGCAACGTTGTTTTCAGTTTCGTTTTAGCCTAAATTAATTTGTTTTGGCTTGTCGTTTAGCTATAGCTTCTTATATTTTTAATTATTGTTCTTTTCTAAATACTGTTAATTGAATGGCTTTGTTGTGGAGTGAGGGGAACTAAAATAGCCTAGCTATGTTTACAGTGTTTATTATAATGTTTGTAAACATTTCACGTCGGCATTAGGCCTATTTCTGAATTAAATAATAAAATGCGACTCAGACGTGACTTATGTTTTTTCTTCCTCTAAAAAAAAACGAAAAAAATTGTATACGCGTAGCGTATTTCAACTATGTAGCAAACCTTTTTAAATATTTTGATAAAATACTAAAAAAAATAAATAAATAAATGACTTTTTAAACCGTTTAACTGATTGTATTAATCGGTCAAAATTTTTCACGGTCGGTTAACGGTTAACCGGTTAAAATGAACATCCCTACTTCAAGACACAAAAAAACTAAATTAAACTACCAGGCATCATTTTCAAATTAGTAGGTATATGAATTCGAATTTTACAGTGACAGGTTTAAAATAAATGTAGTGCTTCAGGGTTAGTAACAATACATATCTACTAGAACCTTGCAAGGCATACACTGATCAGCAACAACATTAAAATGACAGATGATGTGAAGACCATTGATTTAATATACTGTTTCAATGGTACTTGTCAAGGGGTGGGGTAAATTAGGTAGCAAATGAACAGTTAGTTCTTGAATTTCATGTGTTGCAAGCAGGAAAAATGGGCAAGCGAAACGATCTGAGTGACTCTGACAAGGCCAAATAGTGATGGCTAGACGACTGGCTCAGAGCATCTCCAAAACGCCAGGTACTGTGGGGTATTCCTGGTTTGCAGTGGTTAGGACCTACCAAAAATGGTGCAAGGAAGAACAACCACTGAACCAGAGTTAGGGTCATGGGCACCCAAGGCTCACTAATGTATGTGAAAGTGAAGTCTAGCCTGTCTGGTCCGATCACACAGAGCTACTGTCTCTCAAATTGCTGAAAAATTGAATGCTACTTATGATACAAAGGTGTCAGAACCAGTGTTCCCTCTAAGCTGCAGAATAAATAATATGTCGTGCACAGGACAGACGCAAAAATTAGTTGGGGAAAGGTTGAATTCTAGTAAATTTAAAATAACTGCATTGCTCGGGCAAACCTCTATAGAGTTGGTGTCGCTGTAGTTAGAACCGGTGAATGCGGTTTACAGGTTTCATAGAAAGAATGATGTGCGCTCTGAATCAGTCGCTGTAGAATCGAATACGAAATAACTCAACATGAGAGCTAACGCAAACGCAATGACATGTGAGAGTTGGTGTCGCTGTAGTTAGAACCGGTGAATGCGGTTTACAGGTTTCATAGAAAGAGAATGATGTGCGCTGAATCAGTCGCTGTAGAATCGAATACGAAATAACTCAACATGAGAGCTAACGCAAACGCAATGACATGTGAAATAAAACATCATCATGTTTTAAAGAAGAGTGTCTTGATTAAGTGGTGGAAATAGCATTACAGTCACACACAGGTGTAGTAGTGTGCAAACTCTACTACATGGGGATGTTTTAGATAACTGTAAAAGAATTCACATATTCACGTTTTTTGAAAATATTTATTTGAAAATATTTTTATATTCTATTATATTATAAGCCTAAATAATTGACCTCAAATAGGGAATTCAAGAGCAATAACGGTTTAATTTTTTCATATTTGCTATATTATATTACATTATATCATATTATATTATAAAGAATTGAACTATTCTGTGTGAGATATTTTTTTTAATAAAATTTCTTGGTAAGTAAAACTGCACTGTAAAACATGTTTTCTCAGGTAACCTAAAATGTGCATCATTCAGTTACATCAAGGGTCAAATTAAATATAAATAGCACATTAAAGTTAAAAGTTACACACTTTTTCGTGTGCGCGCTGTACAGGTCTGGTATACTTAGGTATTCTTTATATATAAAAAATATTTTTGCTCAGGTGGCCGAAATGCCCGCCCAATAGAGAACATTTTTGCTCAGCAAGAAAAAAAATTAGAGGGAACATTGGTCAGAACACTGCATCGGAGCTTCTGGGACTGTGTAGCTGCAGATCAGTCACCCTTTCAACCGCTGAAAGCACCTAAAATAACAGGTGAGCAACACAACTGGATCATAGAGCAATGGAAGAAGGTAGCCTGGTCTGATGAATCTCATTGTCTGGCCGGGTGGTGGATTCAGGTGGATGGTCGGGTGTCTATGCGTTGTTTACCTGGGAAAGAGATGGCAGATGGCGGAAGACGGATGTTCTGTCGGAAACCTTCGGTCCTGTCATTCATGTGGATGTTACTTTGACACATACCACCTACCTACCGCAGACTACATACAGCCCTTAATGGCTTTGCTGTTTGCTGATGGTAGTGGCCTCTATCAGTAGAATAATGCACCCTGCCACACGGCACAAAATTGTTCAGGAATGATTTGAGGAACATGATAAAGAGTTCAAGGTGTTGCCTTGGCCTCCAAATTCCCCAGATCTCAATCCTATTGAGCATCTATGGGATGTGCTGGATGAACAAACTCAATCCATGGAGGACTTGCAGGATCCATCCAATCCATCCTTGAAAATTGCAGGACTTAAGGGATCTGCTGCTAATGTCTTGGTGCCAGAGACCACAGGACACATTCAGAGGTCTTACGAAGTCAATGCCCACGCCACTTCAGCTGAAGTTTTCTTCCAGGGAAGTAATCAGAAGTTTGCAGGACTCTCTGAATGAGGGATTTCCCAATCCTGCAAGCACTTGCTTCACCGGGAGGAAATACCAAAGCACGCGCTCCACAGATCGAAGACGAGACAATACAAGATAATAGCGCACTCATCACCAACTGGACAGGGGTGGGAATTACACTTACAAGTTGCAATAGATATTTCCATCTTTGCTAAAAAAAAATGACGAATAATAATTGGTTAACGCGACCACTGCTGCTGACACTACCCATACCCCTTTACCCACACTTAGAAGTGCAGTGATTTCTGAGAAACCGTGTTGAAAATTAAAACAGCCAAACAAACAATTTAGTGAATATTTGCTAGTTGTCTTTTCTCTGATGGTGTTTGTACCAAACCATGTTTTTTTTTGTTTAGCATAGTGTGTTCATGAATTTGGGGGCGGAGCAATGAAGGGAGGGACGTGTTTCTTTTTGTTAGCAGTGTGTTTGTTTGGTTGTTTACTTTAGATATCAACAGTGTTTCTCAGAAATCACTTACTGCGCCTTTAAACCTAACCATATCACATTAACGTAAGCACATAGTAGTTGACAACTAATATAAAGTGTAATATAAGGTTTCCCTCAATGTCTATGATGGTTATGACCCTGCACTTTGGGGATAAGGTGGGAAAATATAATTTCTAGGATGCAACAACCTTCAACAGTAACCTCTTTGAACAAACAAACAAACAAACAACCAAAAGAGAATGTCTGTGCCGGGATATGGCACAGTTCCCTGAGAATGGGCCGGCCATGACACACCCCTGTGGCTGAGACCATGTCATTAGAGATGACAACGATGACAAAATTAAATAAATAAAATTGGTGCAACTCAGAGGACAATGAATAAATTATGTTTACCCCTTTGGTCACAAAAAAAGCAAAAATGCACATGGAGAACCATGGAAAGTGTGATTGCCGTATAATAAAGGCTGCAAACTAAAGTGTTTGATATGTTAAATGTGCATTGCCCCCTTGGACTCATACCCGTATGGGTTAGGCTGTGTCTCTGCAGGTGGTAACGCTGAAAAAACCTCATGTCACACATGGAACAAGCATACGGCTTCACTCCTAAACACAGAGTACTGGAATGTTAAGTTTTGATGAATAAAAACTTTCAGTATGTCCAACACCCCATTGCATTGTCTGTAACTATGCCCAAACTCGAGTTTGTTGCAGTCAAACCTATGTTTGAAAACTGTTTTGCTTACTATAAAACTTATAGTAAAACTTATAATAAAACTACTGTTTTATCATGAACTATAAAAAGCAATGTGTACAAGGTATTAAAGCATTGCTGCCAACTGTTTAATAATACTGAGCCAGAAACATTTGGAGGTCCCCCCATGTTCGCAATCCCCTGTTTATAATCGTGTTATTGTAGAAAGCAAGTTTCCAACAGGTTTTAAAAACCCATCTTCATTGCCAAGGCAACAGTCCAAAAAAATAATCAAATAAAAAAAATAAGCACAATATAGTGACAAACACTGACAAGTTGGCAACAGTGCTAAGCTGTGCATTGGTGTAGTCAAGTAGAACATACTGCTTTATTTAATCAGAAACCGTCTAAATGTTATTTGTGTATTTTACTTTCATTTTATTAAAAGCAGGCCAACAGCGCCCCCTACGGGATTAAAACTCCTTACCGAACGAGCGTTAGGACCCGGGGGAGGCTGCCGCGGCATGTGCTATTACCGTTTACTCTATCACACACGAACGCGTCATTCTGTACGTGCATTCTCAGTTTAAATGCAGCGATCCAAAGCAGTGAATTCAATCACCATTCAGGCAAAACTTTGCTTCAAAAATGAGTCACACTGCTAATGTGATCTAATCACTAGCACACCCTGTGCACATGTGAGTTAACCTATTCCTCTTATCGGCAAGACATATCGACATAATTTTTCATATCGGGCCGATGCCGATATGTACATTTAAAGCCATTATCGGCCGATTCGGATATCGGTCCGATAATATCGTGCATCCCTAACTTTTTTCTCATTACTTCAGTAATAATATGAATGTTTGTAAGACAGAAATGATACTGTTTGACAAGATTGATTGTGAAGCTGTTTCATACCTAAACATGATAACTGCTCTCTCTGTGTCAGCGGCAGCTCGAATGCAGATTTGAATGTTCTGATATGACTTTGTAAAAGGTGAATTTTAGACACAGGAGAATCAGTATCATTTTGAAATAAGATCGCCTGGGTGTTTGAATTGAGATGGCAAAAAAGCACAAATATCTCAAAATCAGTGGAATTTTGGGAAGAAAACTAAGGAAGTTGTCATTCTTCAATAAGATGTTGAAGGGAGCCATACTTTGTGTGCACCTTCAGAACTTAAGATCATCTGCAGTACTGCTCAAAAGCCAACCACAATGACATACATTTTTTTTCAAGGACATTTGCTTTTAGAACAAAGATAAGCAGAGCTCCTTTCAAAGATAGAGGTGAAAGAGAAAAGCAATTTTTGTGAAGATTAAATATGAAGCTTCAACAGGGACTTGTGATTGCCTCACAGACAAAGCAAACGTCATGCAGACGATATCTAGCATGCTAAAAAGGCAACAGAGGCAACAAGGTTCATGTGCATGACAATGTGCAGGAATGCTCAGCAAAAGCAGAAAGGAACTGCAGATTGAGCATAACACCGAATGGTTCGAAAATATCAGTCAAACGAACAAAAGCAAAGCAGAAAGTTGCAGCAGCGCAGTGGGTAGAGAAGACTTGTACCCGTATGAATGAGGCTGTGTCGCTGAAGGTGGTATCTTTGGAAAAATCTCATGTCACACATGGTGCAAGCATATGGTTTGACCCCTAAACGCAGAACAAGATATCAATAAACTGTCTTCAAATTGTAGTTCTGCACATCATACGACAGCTTACTCAAAAGTACAGCAAATCTGCAAACTAGTACTGCTGACCTACATCTGTTTAAATGGATATTTATATTTATCTAAAAGTTATTCTCACATTTTCAAACGAGTCTAAAAGCCTAGAAGTTAGGGCTGCACAATTATGACAAAAATCGTAATTTTCGATTATTCCCTTGAAATTGTAATTGCGATTATTAATTATGATTATAACAATTTACATTGAATGATGTTTATATCATTGTTTGGTGCAACTGCATGCCATATTTTTATATGAAAATAAACAAGCTGAAAACACTCTGACTGAAAAACTTTGTGCTTTTCTATAGTATTAAGCCTCAAATGTCAAATATACATCGGATTGGTTTCTTCTTTAAATGATAAAAAAGTAAAAATATGAATGGTATTATAATGTTATACTAAAACTAAAATTAAAATAATGGGAAAAACCCTTAAGATAACATATAGAAAGAAAAAAACGCATTTTAAGCACGCAGAATAACATAAGTGGACTTTGAACGATTAATTGCCGCTTTGAACGATTACATAATTGTGGCATCCATAATTGTAATCGCGATTAGAACTTCGATTAATTGTGCAGCCCTAGTAGAAGTAGTACTGTTTTCCTAGCATCAGCTCAAATTAACTTTTTTTTTTTTTTTTTTTGGGGGTTGGGTCAACTTTCTTATTGCTCAAATGCTTAAAAAAAGATACATTTAAAACATGGTGTGAATAGCTTTAGTGCAAAAAATATTTGCAAATATTTTAGACTTGTGTCTTGTGTCATTCTAATTGGTGTGAAGAGACCTTAAAAAATAAATGAATAAAATAAAGGTTTTTGTTCTGTGTAGACGCGCTATGATCTGTAACTGTTTATGAGTATCCATTTTTGGGTTTATATAATTAAAAATACTAATGAGAGCACCTTACAGTATTTTTACCATATATCAAAAACAACAACAACAACAAAAAAAATAATAATAATAATAAAAAAAGAAAAATCTACAAATTGTGTGCAAGAATTTGATATCAATTATAGTTAATGTAAATAAAGATGATACTTGTTTCATAAAACATTGCTATAACATTTTTAAAGAGTGCTATTGTATAAAAAGTAAATATTGAAGGATTGTTTTAGAAATAATTTCCAATGTAACGACACATACCAGTATGAGTGAGGCTGTGCCTCTCCAAGTGGTAGCGTTGGAAAAACCGCATGTCACACATGGAACAAGCATACGGCTTCACCCCTAAATGCACAGAGTGGCAAATTCAATGATCGTCTACACAGAATCAAAACCTTGCTCAAATGTCCTCATAACAAATATTAAGCTTTATACACACAAGGGTTTAGCTGATTCAAGACACAGTACATGATTTTTGCTTTAGTGCCTACTTCAGAATAATGTACAAACAATTATTCAGGATTCATGCAATGTTCATGAAACTTTAGCCAAGTTCACACTACAGGATTTTAAGCCCGATTTGCAAGTGAACGAGCTCGCCGACAGGTCGGGCTGTGATCAGGGGGGAAATCAGCGGGTGATCAGCGCTCGGCAATCTTTATGTGTGAACTACTCAACGACGCATCAAAGAGGCTTGCTAATTCCTTCCCGACATCCATTTTCAAATAAACAACTCCGGTTTCATGTGTTGTTTCACATCATTCCTGTTCAACTTCTCGCGTGTGTTTTCGTGAGAATACGTGGTTTGGGGTCTGTGTAGAGTCGTTGGGTGACAGAGTTGTTGTCAGCTCGTGTAGTGTGTGACTCCCTGTTGTGGATCATTCACGTAGTGTCACGTAGTGTGAACACCACAACGACTTCAAGACAGACAGCAAGTCATGCAGTCTGAACAGCACAGCGATCTGCCAACGTTTAAAGTCGTGTAGTGTGAACTTGGCTTTTGATAAAATGTGTCTGATCACCACCGGGAAACAAGTCTGAAGGCATTACATAGTCATTTAACTAAGGTGCAAATTAGGTGTACAGGGAGAAGACTTGACATAAAAACTGCACTACAGAACTTTGGCCTCTCTATTGCCATCTGTGGCTGCAACATAAAAATTGCACGTCACTTGTGGAGCAGTTATTGTCTCCTGTGATGATCATCACATCAGAGGAGCTCTAAAGCTTCACCTGACCCAACAGCTCAATATGAATTCATATTAAATGCTTATTAGAGCGAATCAGGGTAAGGAAAGAACATGAATTCAAATAACTTTTTTCATATATTTGCTAAATAATGGAATTTAGTTCAATTTTAACCAAAAAATAATAATAAATAAATAAATCTTCTATAGTGCAGCTTTAAGAACATTTCTGTTCTGGTATTTGGACATTTCGATATTTTAAATAATACAAGTCCAATAATTCATCACTCACATACAAATAAATGATCTTACCTCTAAAAGCACATTATTTACATTTATCAAATGACAAATGTGAAGGTAACAATTACGGTTTAAAATCAAAATGGAGAGGAACAAGTCGTACCAGTGTGAGTGAGGCTGTGTCGCTCCAAGTGGTAACGCTGAATAAATCTCATGTCACACACGGCACAAGCAAACGGCTTTTCTCCTGTGATAAAGGCAGACACTCGAGTGAAAAACAGTGAAACACATTAACATATCACCACAATCTAACATGATCAATATATAAATATTCATACCAGTATGAATGAGAATGTGTCTCTTCAGGTGGTATCCACTCCTGAAGGCCCCGTAACAGTGATCACAGATAAAGTTCTTCTGGACTTTTGAAAGTGGACAATTACCATTTTCATCCACAACCGTCTATCAGGAAAATGAATGGAAGACGTTTTAATTGTACTGATCGCTCTTTTCAATGGACTGGAATTTGCAAGGTTCAAAAAAGACACACAATTATCAGAAAAATTATCCATACACTATATTCCAAATCTTCTGAAGCAACACAACTTTGTGCGAGGAACAGGCTGAAATGTAAGTCTTTATTCACTCACAATCCTGAATAGCTCTCGATGGCACATTCTTGAGAACAGCATTAATAACTATCTTTCTTTTTGAGTGGGATCTTTTCAATGAATTAATTGAAGCATTACAACTTACAACACATTATATATATATACTGTATATATATATATATATATATATATAGAGAGAGAGAGAGAGAGAGAGAGAGAGAATGTGTAGTAAGTTGTACTACTGTACCCTTTAAAATATAACTTTAAAAAAGGTAACTTTTTGTATCCCTACTACAAATGCATGATTACATAAAAATCTATATCACTGAGTTTATGTCTTGTTTATTTTTTCAGTTTCAACTACATCATACATTTCACACTAAAATGCATGAAACACTGACAAGGCATGCATCACAAAACCATGTATTCCAGTTAGAAACTTAGAAATCAGTTGACAGTCACCCACGAGGGAAATCAAGTCACAGAGCAGAGGCAAATATCATTGCATGACAATTATGTAATATTCCTTTTGAAATATATATATTTTTTAGCACAATACTCAATGCTGAGTAATGCACAGTATTGCATAACGCATACCAAAATGAAAATTCTGTCATAATTTACACATGGCAATGCTATATAACTTTCTTTATTCTGCAGAACACAAAAGAGCACATTTCATAAAAGCCAGAGTGGTCCAAAATGAAACTGAACCACATGAACTTTTATAATAAGGGAAACACACACACACACACACACTCTTAATATATGTTCTGCAAAATAAAGAAATGGATACAGGTTTGGAATAACATGAAAGTGAATAAATGACACAATTTCCATTTTTTGGTGAACTATTCCTTTAAATGCACATAGTATAAAAAGACATGCAGACACAGGTCTCACACACAACAGAAAAAAACTAACTAACATAACAAAAAGACGTCACACATAAAATAACCTAAACTTAACCTAACTAGCCAAGTACCAAACTTCAAAAGAAGCAGATATGCTTTATTCCTAAAAATCACAGCCCGGCTTTAAATCACAGCAGATACTGGTGCTGTGAAAACACAATAACAGTTATTGTGCTACAGCGTTGCCCTCCCTTTCCAGACCGCCCCACCCCCGACCAAAACCAGCCATCTCCTCCCCCACATCACCACAAACACACCGTTACCATACACGAACAGACCGTTTAAATGCTTGCCATGTCACATTTGAAGAAATATTTTTATTTTCTCCGTAACCCTCTCACACAAGCACTGAAAATGTCTCACGGAAAGCAGTGTATTCAAACAAACTTTGCATGACATGACACGCTACACTACACCCCCACACACTGACCTTCCCTGCTTGCCCCTCCTGCTCTCTCACTTTTGAGGGTGTTCCTGACTTCCTGTTCTTTTTCTTCATTGCATGCATGTCTTCATTGGGTCTCATTTCCTTCTCATCCAGCAGTCGGGGAGCTGTAAAATCAGCCTCCTTCCGCAGAAGCTACAGACACACAAACACATAAATTACAAATGTTTGTAAACCTACAATGCCATCTCTGCGTTTTAATACAACACTATAAAATAAACAGATTTCTGAAATACTGTTTTACATTTTGCCAACAAACTGAATGAATGCATTTCAGTTTTTATTTTGTGCCAATAATTACCGGCTTATACGTAGAGGTCAAGGGTTTTTTTTTTTTTAATAGCCGAAGGCAATACTAATAACTGGGTAGTAGATGCATAACAGATTTTTTTTTTTTACATTTGTGACCCTGGACCACAAAACCAGTCATAAGGGTCAATTTTTCGAAATTGAGATTTATACATCCTCTGAAAGCTGAATACACAAGCTTTCCATTGATGTATGGTTTGTTAGGATAGGGTAATATTCGGCCGAGATACAACTATTTGAAAATCTGGAATCTGAGGGTGCAAAAAAATCAAAATATTGAGAAAATCCCCCAGCGACTTAAGACTGCTTTTGTGCTCCAGGGTCACATTTAATTTCTAACCTGCTTTTTGCCTTTACCAGTTCATTTTAAATGGCCCTTCTGTGTGAGAAAAGTAAAAAAAAAAGTACAATAATCCATGTAGTGTTTTAAATAATATGTGATTATTAAAGATCAATTTGCAATTATTAAAGAAACAAAGATAAAATAATTAGCAAAATGCTAGTTTCAGATGAAACAGAGCGTCACATTGTAGGACATGTCCAACATTACTGAATTTAAATGTATACTTATTATTATACACACTTTTTTAATCAAAATCATGGTTTAAAAATAACGGAGTTCCTTTGGAATTCTTTAGCTTTTAAGAACTGCAGGGTTTTCCGGTAGTAGACGGAACTAAGTGGTTGGGGATTATTTGGAGGCCATGACTGACAAAGGCCAGGGGGGTAATTTGGCCAGGACACCAGGGTTACACCCCTACTCTTTACGAGAAGTGCCATGGGATTTTTTTTTAATGACCACAGAGACTCAGGACCTTGGTTTAACGTCTCATCCGAAAGACAATATAATAAAAGAAAAGAAATATACATAGGCCTATATTTTTTCATATTTGTTTATTTTATTTTTCTTTATAATGAATTATTCTGTATAGATTGAAGATATAAGAATGATTATCAGTTCCACACACCGAGATATATAAATTCTACATTTATTTAAATGAGGGAAAAAAACTTCACTGGTATCGGATCGGTATCGGCCAATACCGAACCCTAGGTATCGGAATCGGTATCGGGAGGCGAAAAAGGCGGATCGGAGCATCCCTATTTAAAACCAGAAAATCATGCATTATACATTAACAGGGCAGTTGGCAAATTTTGTAACTACCACACTTTTGTTAGCCGGCCAAATCAGAATCAGTGATATTTCACTACATTTACATTTAATTATTTAGCAGACGCTTTTATCCAAAGCCACTTACAAATGAGGACAATAAAAAAGGACAACAAGTGCTGTTTTGGCCAATATGCAAGATGTGTCTTTAGCCGTTTCTTGAAAATTAGTTATGAGTGTTTTTTTGTTTTGTTTTTGTCCAGATGGCACAAAATAACCAATTTAACCAAAATAACTAATTTGCAACTCTAATCACTAATCTATAGCTTGAAGGTATCTCCTAACCAGTGGAGGGCAGGTCATGCTCGTTGGTAAGACCATGTGTCCTTGCGTCCCACGGTCCTGTGCATCCCTCTGGGCTGAACCGTGGCCTGAAGCCGGACCCAACGGCGACATCATTCTCTTAGGAGCAGCGATGGAACTGGCCTGCATCAGAGCCATGCTGGACAGCACCGCTTCACATCCCAACAGCCCTGCCTTTAAAACACAACATCAAGACCAAGAATAACAGATGAGCTGTTGTTGCTGGAAGTGTAAACTGTACGTGGTAATCAGTTAGCACTAAGGGACTTGGGACTAGAATTAAAGCGAAAATCCAAAATCGAACAACCCGATAGAGGAAAATAAGATAGCCTAGATGTCCTGAAACGTGTAGAGAACTAACCCATTTCATGTGGTCCCGGACCGAGCTGCCGGGTATGTGTGACATGGTGGAGGACAGCGGTTGAGAGACAGGCGAGATGTGTAGATGAGACGTCAGTTTGGACCAAGTGTCACACAAGTCTCAGCGGACTCTATCATGGGGCAGCAATGTCTTTTCTTTGCGGTGACAAAGATGGATTAGAGTAGAAACATGAGACATTCACAAAGCAAATACAGCAAGTGTTGTAAGACTGATCAGGGTGGGTAACACAACAATTACAGGCTTTCATCAACTGGAGGCAGCACTCAAACCCATAAATTACTTTGAATTAGGGCTGTGCAAAAAATCTAATGCGATAAAGCAAGTAAAAAGTCAGTAAAGCCGCTCCTGTGATTAGTAGTAAATCTCTAGCACGTGCGTTCAGATGGAGCGGCATTTACTACACAGAGCCGTAGTTCACTGACAATCTACACAAAATCGCGTTCAAAATCGGAAATGAATCGCCTGCGAATTTAAATGCGATTTTGCATAGCTTGTCAGTGAACTACGGCTCTGTGTAGTAAATGCCGCTCCATCTGAACGCACGTGCTGGAGATTTACTACTAATCACAGGAGCGGCTTTACTGACGAGATGCTCATGAAAATCGCATTCGGTTTTTTGCACAGCCCTACTTCGAATACAAAGAATTTGCCAGGTCTAAAACTCAAACTGTGTGTGACGTAAATGATGTTGATTACATAAATATGTCAATTTGTGTTCAATGTGTCTCACTGTTTACATTCATGCCAATTTGATAGCAGCTCTGGCTCCTAGGCATACTGAAAATGAGACTTTATCCCAAAAACCTTGAGCCCGATCATCAGAAGTGTGGGAATTCTTTAAACAGAGACCTAATAAAATGGTGCTCTGCATGCTTGGGTAAAAGTGAAATGGCCTACCGCAACATAACTGCTAGTGCAGGAGCATCTCAAAAGATAACATCCTCGGGCTCCGACTTCAAAATTACAAAATTTTATTTGGACCATTTGGTCTGATGTTTGGTTGGTACTAGGGGTGTGCGATATATATCGTCTGCGATAATATCGTAATTTGGTACTTACACTAACCGAAGTCGATGTTGGCAACATTTAGCAAATAAATAATGCAAGTGCATTTCCTATTACAGTCAACACTTGGACATTGTATAGTAACTCATACTTAACAATGTACACAGTAACAGATGGCTGAATATACAAGCACTGGAATGTGGTCGCCTCGTCAGTCCATATTTTGTGCTTAATACGGTCGTGTTCAGATTTTTCTTTTCATTTATTCATTTTTTTTCCCTATAAATGAACTGAAACCTGCAAAGTTTTGGTACTCACAACTGCATTCTTGAGAAACCTGTGCTGTTTGAATAGTTATGATAATTGTTCATCTGTAAGTTTACCAAAATATTAATTGACTAAAATAATCACTAGATTTTTCGGGGAAAAAGATGGTAAGATTAACAGATTTATCCAAAAAAAATAATAAAAATAGATTGATTAATCGATTAACCACAAGCCATTGTTTCGGTTGAAGATGAGACCAAACAGTGACAACAACAAAATACTGAATAGCAAGTTATTAGCAACTATCGATGTTCACGTTTTTGAGTGCTTGTTGTTTAAAGAAGTTAAAAGATACCAACACATCAAACGCACAACAGAGAAGAGAACACTTTCTAGTTTGTGCGCATCGATCATATGTTTTTGCACATTAAAATCAAATGGACTACACTTTGAAAGGCTACGCGTTTGCCTGTCCACGTACGCTAAATATTTTGATCAATACCAATGCATACTTTGGCTTAAATGAAGATTACCAAATGGATATTTTTGACTTGAAATGTTAACTGGATGAAGCTCCTGCAAAACGCACCTGGACTCTACATTCAATTTATGCGCTAAACTGCTATGCATCTGTAACTAGCAGAAGAATAACTCAACAATTAGTATAATTAATAAAATGTCACCATTTATTGACAAATAGTGTCTTATATTGTTGTCAGCATTGTATAAAAGCAACAATCCATGCTTAAATATCGGTTTCTAGCAGTATACTACATTAACTCCCATACAAATATATTAGATTATTTATAAACAAATTAAAGACATCTTTGTAGGGTTTTAAGTCAAAGCCTGTTTGTCTGGTACATCAATCAACTACAAATCCTTGTGGGCTTGATCAGCAGTGTAAAGCCCCTTTAAACAGGAACGCATATGAGGTTTTAGATCTATTTCTCTCAACCCTCTTTATTCATCTGACACATCCAAACCATGTCATGATGACTTGACTGAGGTGTGTTAACAGTTAACTGGTGGAAGACATCCACCAAGTGTGCTGCTGGTGAACTCCAGGCTGTTAAACGAGGCAGAGGACTTACATTATGCGTTCAACAGCAGACACCGAATGCATTCATGCACGTTGTCATGAATGTAGGCAGATGAAAGGATAACTTATACACATCCCAGCGCGCTGTTCTTCGCACTAAACTCCCTCGCGAACCAACAATCCTCAGCTAACACACCTAATCCTTTCATTCAGGCGAGCTTCGTTAATTCAAGCCCTTTTAAGCATTCAACCGCAGGTCTCGCATCAGTCAGGAATGGTTTATTTTAAACGGGTTCATGTGTGTGTCGTGCATATATGGCTTTCTATAATCAAATCTCTAGCTCTCGAGGCCGCTAAAGGCGCACCAAACCACATCATTCCGAGCGATAAAAGAGCAGTAATAATCATTTCTATTGACGCTCAACGTGTAGTGCTCCTAAATCTTACCTTAGTGCTGCTCAATTTCGCTCTTTTATTCTAACTCGAGTCAGTTTACAAACACAGGAAACGCCACCGGAAAAGCTCCACGAGAACGCGCACACTGGCTGCAACGTCACTAAGTGTTAATGAGCGAAACAACAACACAGCAGCAACAACACTAACTTATTTGTTGACCAAAGTCTTCTCAGTACCATGTCAAACAAAGACATTCGTTCAATTATTAATAGATCTCAGATTTCTTTACCTGCTTGTGTGAGTTTTTGGAATAACATATTTAGTGATATAGAATGGGAAGAGTTTTGGCTTCTTCGACAAAAATTCTTCTTATCTAATAAAGTTGTTGAAGTCTCTATCAAAATTATCCATAATTGTTATCCGGTAAATTATAAACGTGCTAAATTTAACAATAGTATTTCCCCCCAATTGCTCCTTTTGCCTTCAGTCTGAAGAAACAATCAATCATTTGTTTCGGGACTGTGCTTATTCTAAAGGGTCGACTTTTCCAATTTTGTTAACAAATATTTATATCCAAACTTTTGTATAACCCCCCCAAAAATTGTTTTTTGGTTACTCTTTGAATTTAGACCCTTCTCACTGTAAATTTATTATTAATCTATTGCTATATCTTGCTAAATTTTACATTCATAAGTGTAAATTTTCAAAGAAAACTCCCTACTTTTTTATTTTCAGGAAAGATTTTGATGTGTATGTAAACTCTTTAAGAAACTCTAATAATTCTATTGCATGTAAGACTCTTTCATGGTGTAAGTCTTATAAGCTAACATAGTATGCTTTGGAGTATTGTTTGTAACCCTTATTGTCTTTTGTTCTTACTTGTCTTTGTAATTGTATTTGCTGTTCTTCTATTGCATGATAAAAATACATGAAAAAAACAACACAGCAGCAACTGTAATTTACACATTAAGGATGTTGTTTGCTTTTTTGAAAACCAAAACAAATCTTTAGAATCTACTGTTAACTTTCTTATCCTTGTGGAAAAATTATATTTTAACAAACAAAGGTTTCTTAAGAAAATACCTACTTTTATAGATTTTTTACGTGAAGTACAGCATTTAATTAAATCACTAAGGGTAATAATTAAAAATAATAAAAAAGTAAAAAAATTATTTCTTTTTTGAAGAGATATGATGAGATCTTTCATGTACCGTGATTAATACTTGTTTTGGTGTTTTTTTTAAAATCCTCTTTTCTTTATTTGTTCTGTTCCTGCCTTTCTTTATGTTCATAAAAAAGCTATTTAAATGCATCTTTCTCTTTTAACAGTCATTGTCAACTTTTTTTTTCTTCTCTTCTCTTCCATATGTTCAGATGACATCGGATGTATTGTTGATACATTATGTGTATGCAAAGTTGTATTTCATTAATGTCATCTCTGAATTGTTTGCAATAAAAAAAAAACAACAACAACACAGCTGCAACATTTTTGAAGAAAAAGTGGGAATATGGAACAAAAATCTTAAGAAGTTACTCTGCTTATTCACCCTAGAATATGGTGTAAATGTTAAATAAAAAAAATGAACAAGAAAAAAAAAGAAAGAATGGCATAATATTGTAATTACATAGGATAAGGTGATTTCTGAAATGTAAACTGGGAACAGTGGTCACAAATCTCACTTATTATCTACGATTTAAAAAAGTGGACAGTACTTTTTTTAATGTTGTAGGTTCCATATGCTACTGTTGTTTGTGTATTTATTTATTTATTTCATTTTAGAGGACAAAAGCATGCAATTGTGCAACGTCTTGCAAAAGGCATGAAAACAATTGATATTTCACAAAAAAACGATTAGTGATCATCAAGCTGCTCAAAAGATTTGTGAATAAATCAGCGCACAGAAGAATTCAGTCAAAGGCTTATTAAGGAATGTTTCTGTTAAATAAAATAATAGTATTAAAAGTGCAGCTATTAAAAAAGCCACTGTTGAGCAGTAAAGAGTTATTTGGCTGTGCTGGCTGGTGTCTCTAGAGTCTCAAGAACCTCTCAATTCTCCAGACGGTGGCAGTCAGATGTGCATAAAGCTGCATTTGGCCACCTCTAACCAAAGCTCACAAAGAGAAACATTTGCAGTGGACTCAGAAAGACATGAAGACTAATCTTTGAATAGTTTCTATCACTGACGAATGCTGTGCTACACTGGATTATTCTGGATGGCTGTTGAATGGCCACCATGTTCCAACAAGACTGTGACGTCAGCAAGGAGGTGGCGGAGTGATGATTTGGGCTCAAATATTGGGAAGTGAGATGGAAGGACCCTTTAGGGTGTTAAAATGACCTCTTCAATGTATGTGGAGTTCCTAACCAACCTTTTTTTTTTTTTGGCAATAATATAAAAAGAAGAATCATGTCTTCCGAAATAATGTTTTTCATGCAGGGCGACACACCATCCCATGCTGCAAAGAACACCATTGACCCTTGGTTGCTATGGACATAAAAGGAGAAAGAATCATGGTGTGGTCAATAGTCCCCTGACCTCAAACCTATTGAGAACCTGACACATCCTTAAAAGGAATATCTATGTGGATGGGGGACAGTATAAACAGCAGCTCTGGTAGGCAATACAATCCTCAAATGAAATACAGGCAGAAACTACACATTCAGTTGATAACAAAGTTGTTAACATAATCAATAGGTTTTCTGTTTTAAATTGTTTGTTTACATTTTTTTTTTTAATCAATTGACCCTAACTGGTTTAAAAACAAATTGTGAATATACTATGTACAGCAATTACAACATAAATTTTTTTCCAAATGTTATTACATGTTTTTGCTTTTGGAACTTGACCTTCACTATTAGTTCTAATTTATTCTTTAAATCAGGTTGCGTCACTTCAGGTTCAGGTCTTTTGTATGTGCTTTGTTAAATATGGAGCTGTTTTACTCAAGATGACTTCAAAGGAGATACCAAAGATGAGCATAACCAATGTCCATCACATATGCAGCGTGGTATCTATTTTATTATTATTATTATTATTATTATTAACAACGGATATTAAAAATGAATACAACACCAACAATAGCCGATTACCTTAAAAGTACATAGATATTGCCATCAGTTCATACTGCTGTTAACACTTTCTCTGACAAGCAGATGCGATAAGACCTGTTTTCTGGTTTGGTCAGGTGACATTAAACATATAGCCTACCCTATTGTTTAGTTGATTCTTTTTTTTTATTAGGGTATAATTTCACACATGGTATAGTTAGAATATGTGTGTGGGAATTAATTACTGCATGCATTGTGACAGCAGAGTGTTTAAAATTGTGTGCACAACGAACCCGCTTGCTGTTCAGGCGCTGTTATATAGTACCTACAACACGTTAACCTAAAGAAAAACTTAGTATAGCTACCTTGAAACTGATAATGGTGACTCTTTTGATAATTGGTTATAATAGTGTTCTGCTCTGCTTGATTGACCTTTTTAGCAGCAAATTTGTAGGGTGTTTTGAATGTGCTTTAAAACAGGGACAGTCTGTCTGTCGCCGGAAATGTCCCCGTTTTATAGCACATTCAAAACACCCCACAAATACACAACTAAAAAGATAAAAGGGGGATCTTGATCACCTACAAATACACTGTAAAAGCCCAACCAACATAGCCTGCTGGTTAACAGAGAAATCAAATAATGATTATTTTCACCAAGAGGGGGCTGCAAGCTACTCGATTACTTGGTTGCACCATGAAGAACTTAACCCGGATGAGAGAAGAGCACTACTACAGGGTTTCTGTAGGCCTTTAAAAAGACTTAAGAAAGTCTTTATTCGCCCTTCCACATGTTAAGGACACAAAACCCAGAAAATCTTAAAAGAAAGTCATGGCAATAAATATTGCATGCACTACAAAAACAAAAAAAAAATCATTGTCACGTAAAGTCCATGGATGACGATGATAAAAATAAAACAAGGTTTATTCAAATAACTCAAAATAAAAAGCCACATGCAAAACACGAACAACACCAGACAACTGAAGAGTGAACAGACAGCAACTTAAATACAAACCAAATTAATGAAATAATGAATAACACCTGTGCTATTTACATGATTTACCATGACAACTAAAGAGTGGCGGGAAAAATTAACAACAAAAGACAGAAACTAGTGAAAGCAAACTAAAAGTCCATGATAATAAAAATAACAACAAAGTGACTAAAAGTGTCAGACTCTGTTCCTTGTTTTGTGTGTGTTTTGCTCCCCATGTGCCTTCCTTGCCCTTATTTGGTTCTTCCTGTTTCCTGTCCCAATTATGTTTATTGATCCCAGGTGTTTCTCATCATCCCCTCATCATGTCGTGTATTTAAAATGTGTCCTATTCTGAGTTGGTCGTCCGGTATTGAATGTCTGTGAACGTCGATCTCCGTGTCCTACGTGTGACTCCTGTGATTATATGTCAATAAAGACTGTGATAATTCTGGAATCTCCTTCGTCTCCTCGCTCCTTCACAGTAGGCACACTGTGACAAAAAGTCTGTGACAATTATCTTCCTCAGTGATTTTTTTTTCCCTCAGTAGTTCTGGTTTCCAATATAAATATCTAAACATCCTTAAATCAAGATGTTTACTTGAGATGCGAAATAAAGATATGAAGCATTTTTTTTCTGAGAAATTCAACAAAATTTCCATATTCTAGTGGTCGGGTCTTAAAAAGGTCTTAAAGTCAAGTCACCTTTATTTATATAGCGCTTTATACAGTAGTGATTGTGTCAAAGCAGCTTTACAGTGTCAAACAGGAAAATAGTTTTTAAAAAATGCAAGACAATAACAGAATCATTTTTCCAGCTAAAGTCAGTTCATTGATGATTCAGTGATGTCATCATCCAGTTCAGCTCTCTTCCAATAGTGTCTGTGCAATCAGTCAAGCGTCCCCAACTAAGCAAGTCAAAGGCAACAGTGGCAAGGTACCAAAACTCCATCGGTGACAGAAATGGAGTAAAAAACTTGGGAGAAACCAGGCTCAGTTGGGGGGCCAGTTAAAGTCTTGCATTTACCTTCATAAAACCTACCGAAACCCTCTTGTTATTAAACAAGTAATTTTAAAGTAATTCTGTTCACATATAACATCCCCATTTGTAATAATTCTTATTAATATTTACAGTGCAT